AAAAATATCATAGGCGAAAAACAAAACATGTACTACTCAGAACACAAGTCGATGTCGAATGTTTGCTCATTCTAGAATTCTACTAAAATATTAATAGAGAAATCTATAACTATTCCTTTACTTTAACATAATAATTCTCGTATTTGTACTAACCAAATGTAAGATTTTCTAACTAAATGTAAGATTTTCTCTTAGTGTTTTGCTTCTTCATGTTAATATAACTGACTCAAGGACAACGAGCTAGGTGAGTAACATGATTAACAGTTCCTTGGCTTCTAGCTCCAACCTTCACTCAGGGATTATTAATAAATCCATTGAAAATTCTTTTAATTATAAAGATTTTGAAAGACAAAAAACACCTGGTGCTGATAATATTAGTATTAGTTGCCTAAAAGCTCTGACAAAGGAAGAAATAAGACTTTAAAACATTCCTGTTCCCCTTATAAATTTGCATACTTTCTTAAAGAATTTAAGGAAGCAAAGGTAATTTTTATTAAAAATCCTAACAAGCCATCGAATTCCTCTCTCCACCTACCATCCGATTAGCGCAACAGCCATTTATAGAAGAGATAGTTAAAAATGAATTGGTTAACTTAATTGAGCTCTTTTTGAAGTGTAAAAAACAAAGCTCATTCCAATTTTCAAAAACAAAAATCTCTAGGTATGATTTTATTAGATACAAAAGCCGTATGGCATGATGGTCTCATCTGCAAAATGAGTATTTAAATTTTTCTGAACATATTGTCAAAAACAATACATTGCTATATGTAGCATAGCAAAGTTCACATGCATTTCCCATCCCATCCCGTGCCTCTCCAATGTTATATAATTTATTTACATATTCTTCAAAGTAGAAACTGTATCTTATTTATATTTGCTTATGATACAGGTTTACTTTCTTCCGAAGTTTTAGCATTAGTTATAATAATCAAGTTAAAAGAGACTTTAAACAACATTAAAATATATTAGAAAATGGAAAAAAGAACCAGTTGCGAAAAGTGTAGGCGTTATATTTTACATGGAAAAGGAGGCAATGTTTTATTTTTGATAATTCAATATTTTATCCAAGATTAAACTTCAAATAATAACCACTTCCTTTACACAATTAACAAAACAAAAATTCGAATTCTATGGTTACTCTTTAATAGGAAGTCATGTTCAAGTAAAGCATATAGGATAATAATTTTAAAATCTATTTGTCATCCAATTATGATTTATGCTGGCCCCTTATGGTCAAATACTGCCCATTCTTATATTAACAAAATACATATCATACAATATAATATTTTAAATAGATTTACAATTTATTTTGGTTTTATTCCACCAATCGTTTGCATTCTCTGAGAGATATAGAGCTAATTTCTGTCAGAATAGAAACACTCAGAATTTTAACACTAGATACTTACATTTCTCTTATATTCTTACGTTCTTATTAAAGCTTCAACTATTTAAAATAGTTGTAAGTATAAAATGCATCGTTTCTCTTTTTTTATACTCGCCACTGAAGGAGGGAGAGGTACGCTTTGCCACAATGTTTGCACCACTCAGAAGGAAGTTTCACAAACCCTATAAAGTATCTACATTCTTGAACAGCACGAAGTTCTGAACTGATTAAGCAATGTCTGTCCGCCTGCGTGTCTATGCGATGTTTGTTGTTGACACTCTTCTGGTCACAAAAATTAAGACATCAACTTTAAACTTGACAGAAACATTGCAAATTTTCGCACGCAGGTTGATATTGAAAAAGCGCCAAATTGGTCAAAGTATAAAACCACAGTGAAGCGTAAATCGACCGGAACTATATTCTTTTAAACAAAGATTTATAGCATTTTGCTTTTTACTCACATATTATAAAAGATAGAAGGGTGAAATTTTCCACGTTTACTTTGCGAGAAACTTTGCTATTTAGGGATTTCGACAACAGAAGACAACAACATAAGTGTGCTAAATGAATTATGGTGGACGTCACGTCATGCGGGACAATTTTTTCTTGAAACTACCGTCCATATGGATATTAAATAAAAGAGCTTAAAGAGTAGAATGAAAAGGCAAGTATCTTAACTGTAAATTAATTACGGTAGACATCACTACACGGCAGCCTACTTTTTCATAAAAATGCCTTTTAGTGAAATAAAAGGTGAAGGACAATTTTATCCCATTGACTGTTTTATGAGAATAAATAAAAGCGTGGGCAACCGAAGATTTTAATGGTGAAGGGTATGTGAGATTCGGCCCAACCGAATATAAGTTGTTTACTTACAACAATCTCTTTAATATAATTTACGTTTTAAAATTCCGTTCAGCAGAAAAGGAATAAACAACGAAAGCGAAATATAATGGGAGCACGACACTATACGATCGAGATCAATAAAATTTTAAGTGAGAATGGCAATACTTCAAGAAAAAATGTTTTAGAAGAAAAATGACTTTAAACTATTTAATAAAAAGAAAAACAAACAAAACCTGGGTCGAAAAAGTGAATCTATACAAACCATTTTCAAAAGTTTTCGTCTTGGGCCAAACTACCTGAAATTTCATCCAAATTTATGGCGTGCAGGTTGAGCACAAATTTATATAGACAGTCATAAGACAGACGGCGATGTGGATGTTTTTATGAACAGAAAAGTGCGGATCAGGCTCTACACACGAGAAACTGTATGGCTTTGAACGATTCTTTGAGTCGTGGCCCCAGCGCCTTACTTGGTTAACTTTCTCATCAACGATCAGGCGGTGTTTGTATCAAACTTCAGTTTCCTTCATTTTTGCGACTGTTGCTTTTCCAGGAGCAAATTAAATTGGCATACTTTGATAGAAATTGATCTTTGCAAAGCGTTCTTAGTTCAAGCGGTAGTGACGCATTTATAAATTTTTTTTAAATTTTTACGTTATGGAAAATTATTAGTTATACAAAAAGGGTAACGCCTCAATTTTAGGGTGTTCGATAAACCACATCAAATAACATTTAAATAGGAAAAAAGAATTTTGCAAAGGGAACTATGTTGGGTTTCTATGAATATACCTGCAAATAATATAAACAAAAAATGAAGAATGAACACAACACAAATTTTCGATTAGCTCAATTTTAAGAGGTCATTAAATCAAATCAACTTTATTTAAATTTAAAATAAATAAAAGTTAATAGTATATATAAAATAATAGAAGATTCGGTTACTTAAATGTAACCTAAAGCGTATTATTACTTCAGCCCCGCAACTGTGAGCGAGAAGTTGTGCGTTCCTCTACATTCTTCCTCAGCGCAGAGACTGTCATGGTTAATAGAATTATACGAATTTCTATAAACTAAGAGAAGGAGGAATGGCCTATTTTCAATGTTAATATTGCATCTGATGATTTCCTTACTTTTGGCTAATGGAATAACGCAGGTAAGCCTCGATTCTACTGCAGTTTTGATTTAAAAGCAGTTTTTCAAAAGTTTTCGTTGAATTTGAAAGAATTTTTATAGGTTAGTAAGTTTGTTAGGTTTTTTAGGGTTATAGGTTCTTTACACACACAAAACTGTGGTAGGCAAAGATACCTCAGCAAAGCTATCATTTAGCTAATCCCTATTCAGTATCATTTCAAAAATTTTGTCACTATTAATACCTAACTTTTTATTAATTTTCCAAATACGTTTGCCTGCAGATTAATTCGTGAATCTCTCTCTACTGTAACTGTCGCACGTTCCTAATTAATATTCATGTAACCGTCGTATGCAACGATAAATCATACATAACAGTGCATTTCCCGCAACAGTCTCGGTTTAAATTGTTAAGTTCAAAGGATGGCATCATGCTTAGAGAAAGTGAGAAAGTATGATTTATTATGCAAGAAAATACAATCTCAATTATATTATATAAAATGAGCAAACTCAAAAATATATTAGTTGATTGAGTGCAGTGTGTTTCAGTCATTATAGTACACACTTTCAGCGCATATAGGTCATTTGTGCAGGTTTTTTCAAATGTATTTTCAAACACACTCCACAGCAGACATAGGGTGAGGTTGCGAAGGGACCGATAACACAACATATAAGAATTTTAAGCAAGATACCATACATCTCAATAACTATAAATTCAGCAGACGAACCACGTGATAATTTGCGAACATATTAACACCGGATATTACTTCTATGTCTTATTATTATCGACAGCTACTCCATTGGCTTTCCCGATGGACTGAAAATTCACGATACCATGATCTTTAGCATATTGGTCCCGTTTCCGGTTCCGAGTTGCATTAGTGGTTGTTGGCAGCTCTCCCTAACTCACCAGGAACTAAGCCTATTAAACGTACTAATTGTCTACGTTTTTATATGATAACTTATACAGGCTTGTAAACCTTAAAGTTGGTACTTTCATACTGACAGTTTTATTCATCATCTGACAGTACTACTTGAACTGTCTCTTGGAAGAAGAGTGGAGACTTATTCACATTATGGTAATGGTTATGGTAATTTAATTAGAATTAGGAAAAGTGACGGTAGGCTAGAGGACCGACTTATTGGACGGATCCACAAACATAATCGTAGAGAAACATTCTACAAAGAACGATCAAAAAAAGGACGACAGACTTGTAAAGTATGAATTCCTGACATAAAGGAATGTTTCTTCAATTCTTCTTTTGTCTCTATCTTTTTTTTTGTAATGTCATATAAACGTTAATAACACTTACTCGTTCCATTCTCACTCATTCCAACGCATATACAATACAACTAACAATTAAATTTCAATACTTACATATGTGGCAATCGCGGACACGTTTTAACATCTAGAAAGACTCTTGTGGTAACAATAATCAGTTTTGGTTAAAGGAACAAAATTTGGCAACGTTGCTGCCATCTTGCTTTTTGCTATTTTTTCTTCTATTATCAACTTTCGTTACACGCGTATGTAGCTGTTTGCTATTAAAATATTTTCTCAACAATGTATTATTTGGACGTATAAGCCACAAATATATTGGCTTAGTCCATCTCTGTTCAACATACCAAAAAAAAAAAAAAAAAAAGTATTTTCTCATATAAAATATTGATCAGTAATTTATATCCTTAGTTGTTATTGAATAAATGGAATATTGGTAATATGAATTGTATATAAAACCTAAATTTTTTATCTAGGATCCAAAGGTGCAGCAGACAAAAGGGCGATTACTAATGAAATCATTGAATTTATCAGATTATGAAGCAGAAATGCTACAGAAATTCAGCTAAACCACAATGTGATGATATTCTTCAACAAATTTAACGAGATATTTTTAGTCTTCCCAAGCAAGCAGAATTATGTTCGTTGAAAAGTTCTCGCTCTACAGTCAATTCTCGTTGTCGTAGTCGACAAACTAAATCCAAACAAAATTTTGAACATACGTGAAGACAATCTTGGTATCATCAACTTTTTTAATATAACGCATCTATTTTTGATTATCACTGACATGCACAGAAACCGTCAACACCCAAGGTAATCCAGCCACCTAGAAGACTATCTCCCGGACAATTCTAAGGTAGAATTTGAGAATTTAAGGAAACTACGCATCTGAGGACCATCTAATAGTAGTATGTAGTACTTTACATGTAATTACGAAAGCAAACGGTTCCTAGCGCTCGTGTGGCGATTATCGTGCTGCTAATTTTAAAACTATCGGGCCGCTGTTCTATATCGTCCTTACAAGATCCTGCATGGAAAGGTTATTTTACAACCTATGCGTTTCTACAACTTCGTTAAGAGAAGATAAAGAACATTTAAAATAAATATTTCAAATTGCACAAACTTAAATTTGGTCAATCTCAATTGTCTTTTCTGGGACGTGAAACTTCATTCCAAGGTATTAAACCATTATTAAAGCAGATAAACGCACTTAAAATCTATCCGCGATGAACATATATAAATGAGCTCAAACGTTTCTTATCCCTGATCAATGTTTGCAGACGAGACATTGAGCACGCTATCCCGATGTCTCACGGCTGAACTAGACTGCTGGTACTACAGAAGTTCGTGAGAACATACAAACTATCACTCTGAGTAGACGAATTTAATGTTGTCGCAGGCGTTACTCTACACGAGATAGTTTCAGCTCACACACCCTTTGGCTTTCCTTTTAAAACGTTCAAAAATACGCAAACGCGTTATATTACGATATGGCAGGGAGCTAACAGCAGTCTATTTAGCAGTTTAGCTTTTTATAAATTCATTCTAGGAGGTAAACATTGTCATATAAACAGATCACAAAACATTAATTTATGCTTGTAGCAAAAAATTCAAAAAAGCTACAGATCTGCAAGCCAGATTACTTGATTGGATGCCGCACGTTTCCACAGAGATTCGTTTTGTTAATGAGAAAGAAAAGATATTACAACCGTCAAAATGCATTGGTCATGTAGAAGTGTTTAATGCAGATGCGTTGGCTGATGACAAACAATTTAAGGACCAACTTCAAATACTATTAAACCGCAAGAACGCTAACCGATTTCAACTCAAATTTTTCCTCTCTACGAAAGCACTACTTACATTTATTGTGACCTATCAACTAATACCCTAAGATCCCTTATTACCCAAAAACAAGAGAGCAGTCTTTGCAGAGACTCGTAATGTTTCATACTATGGCCCTTCCACAGTGAACTCGATGGCTAAACGATTCATTTGACTGGGAATAGTTGAAGACATTATGATTCTCGCGGGATCTTATATCCATTGTCAGAGACCAGAAATCAGTTAACACGCATCGTCACAGCTACAAGGCTATTCTACATTAGGAACAATTTTTAGATATTAACAATTTTGGGCTGTTGGACCGTTTTCAACTAATAATATTAAGCAATATGACTTGATTTTAATCGACCATTTTACTACATGGCGAGAGACTGTACCTGCATTGAATATCGCTGCACAAACAGGTGCTAAAGCACTTATCTTGCAACAGGTCCGTCGTTTTGCAGTACTACAAACAATAACATCTGACCAAGGCTGACAGTACCAATTAAAGATTTTCACAGAATTAAAATCGACAGGCATCAAACATGCTTCTACACCACTAAATACTGCAATCAGATAGGTTACTTGAACAATGGTATACAACATACAAATCGGACAGTGGGGAATCGTACAGCTTTTGAGGAAGATCTGGAGGCATCGCCAGAGGTAGTTTTTGGTATATATTAATGGATATTATTGAAGACTACAACTGGATTTTTCATAGATAACAAAAATACCAAATGTAAGCATGCCCTGGTTATATAATTACATCAATACATGAATAATATACGACTTCAACAATTATCTTGATTTTTTAACAAGAGGATTTTTATTCATACTGCGCTGATCACACGTAAAAACGTATTCAATAAAATCCATCAGCATAGAAGTTTTTAAGAGAGAGGTGCCGTCGACGTCATTTTGCGATCTTTTTCGTTACCTTTACTCCACTCTTACGCTATTGCTTCGCAAGTTTTTTTATAGTTTACTGCGTACACGGTATACCACTTAAATTGCGCTTAATATTAACTGCACTTAAGTTATACTTCACACAAATGCGACGATTGTGCTGAGACCGCTTTCTCAGTCCGATTCTCCGCTCTTTGGTTTACTAATACTACCTAAAACCGGTCAAAAGTGATTATTAGGGGGATAGGCACGCAAGACGCCATTGTTGATGCAGCCTAGCCACACTGGCGGTGATATCTAGGAAGCAGTCCGCGCAGGGCTTCACTGTCGGCGCAAAAGCTAGTTTCCCTTAGGTGCTGAGGTTAAGAGTGCTAACTAGAAGATAGTGCGCGCAAAGCCATACAGTTGGAGCATAGACAACCGTTCGAACGGATTCCCCTTCCACATTTGTCGGAGGAGAAGGCACGAAAAACAAATGCCTTCGAATAACTTCACATGACAAACCTAGCTACGCTTAGAAGATTATAATCTGATGACTAGGGAGTAGCGCCAGCAAAGCTACACTGTGCAAGCACCAACAGGCGTTTGACGGGTTACCCTCCAAGTGTTTTATGTGGTAACGCGCGAGACATGCTTTAGAATAATTCAGCGTGACATTTAGCTAGAGGGAAGATGATCGGTAACTTTACCTTAAGTAAGTCTCTGAAGCATTATGCGTTTTATCGGCGGCCTTTATATAACCATAACCAGGGCGCTGGTTATGTACGGCGTTAACCTGATTTCATTTCCGAGTTTTGACTGTGTTTCGCTCTTTAAAAATTTTGAAAACACGAGTAAGCAAAATTGCTCACCCTTTTCGTTAGGACTGGTTGTTCAGAAGTAATATTGTTGTTTAGAGCTGGTTTTTTAAAAGGAAACAGCTGAAAATTGAAAATAAGATAAGTTCCAAACAAAATGGTTGACCTACAAGCAGCTGAAGCAAAACCAAAATTTTAATTTTGTGAAAGGTACGTAAATTAATTTTTTTTTTTCATTATATTCACTTCATTTTAATTTGCCAAAAATTTTACATAATTTTGCTTTTATTTACGTTGGTAGGATTCTGCTATTCATTGCATTAATGGAAACAAACAAGCGCCGAATTTGCGCCTTATTTTGCCATTATTTTTTCGGAATAAATTTCGAATGGCAAAAGCAATATATAACTGTCAACCAAACATTTCCCAAGATACGCCTTCCAATAAAATGGTATACAAATAATAATATTTTATTTATTTAATTAATTCAAGTCAGCTACAGAACATGTCATTAGCTGAATATAAGCTACAAAAGAACTTAAAATGTAGTATAGAGAAGAAAAAAATATAAATAAAAATAAGCATAAGATTAACATATAACATATACCGGCATTTAACTAAGCCTTAAATTAGTATGCAGGGATATACATTGATGAACAAGTATATGATTATTTATACATTATTAATGAAATGAGAAACAAAATCAAATAACAAAGAATATTTTGACACAATTTGCGTGTATTGTGTAAGACGCGAAAATAATTAGCAACTCGTTACGCACTACAATGTTTTTCATCTTGTTAACGGACAAAACGGACAGATAAAATAAGTGATCGATGAACATTTTACACATTAGTCGAAACGGATTGAACAACTCATAATTGGTTCAGCATTGTGGTAGCTGCAAGCCCACAAAGCGTCTTGAAACGCTACTGGGGATGTGAACATTAATAAGTTCTAATAAAATCGGTGAAAAAACTTCTCCTTTTATTAAAGGCTTAAAGGCGAAGGTTAGATTCAGCATTTCATGCCGTTTTTCAAGGGTGGACAAGTCAATGAGCTTCAACATACGGTGGAAGAGGTAGCGTAGGGTCCCATCCCATACCTCGCAAAGCAAACATCAAGACACACTCCAAGAGATCAACAGGGTATCTATAGATAGGAAGCCAATCTACCGACGAGTATTCAAAAATTTGTCTAACTAAAAACGTATGCTGACAAATTAGTGACAGTTAATATCCCTTTTAAAAACCGGGCTGACAGCGCGATAAAGTTGACTAAAACCAAAGTAAGCCTTTCTGTTACCAGTGATTCAAATAGTTTAGGCAGTGCACTAAGTTTGTCAATTCTCTTAAAATTCTTCGTAGACTTTCGGGAAACACTCGGAAAATAGAAACCGACGAGAAGTGACTTTTTTCAAACAAACGTTAAAAATATGTGTAAAATGAGAACGTAGTAAATCAGCACAATATTGGACAATAGCAGATGGAACACCATCAGGAGCAGGGTTGTTAGAAGGTTTTAAAGTTGACAGTGATATAAACATTTCTTCTTCGGAGAAGGACATAAACGGAAAAATTTCAAGAAACGGTGCAGGTAATTATCAGGTGCATTATTTGAACATTGGTAGACTTCACCAAAAAACTCCGCGAAGAGGTCACTTATTATAGACGCTTCGGATGATTCGAAATTTTACATAAGAGAAGAGAATCCTCATACTTTTCGTTTAGAATTGACGAATTTAAAGGAGTTCTTAGGATTTTGAAGAAGTTTACTCTTAGTTGCATTAATAAAATTGGAATAGCATTGCTTACCGGGCGCTATAATGTGGTCTAGCGTTAGATTACAACATATAATGACTACTCAACCGCTACGACTACATTTTTTTCCTTTTTTTATTGCGCACCATCCGTAAATACTTGGAAGACTAAATAGAGGAAACAAATGTATGATAAGACTTAAGCGGAACGGAGACGGCAATTGCGAAAAAAACCTGATGGCAAATAAAGGATAACGAATCCTCAATATCTTCATAGCGTAAGTCCAAGTCAATGCCATCCAGCAAGTCTTTAAGTATTCGTGGCCAGCAATAAGCACGGAAGATGCATATCTGCAAGCGAAACAAAGGGATCAGTTCGAAATAAAAATATAGTAATATCCCAGCAAAGTACTAAGTCAAGCAGCTTATTATTCAAAATAACGATCTTGTTAAGTTGACAAAGATGTAATCCATGAACGTTATCGAAAAACTCCTTGTAAACTAATGGATATGAAACAAACAACCAAAGTCGTCGTTAGGAATTCTCGAAACATTGGGCGCATTAAAGTCACCTAGCGCTATCGACTCATCACTTGGTTGGAGGCGAAAAGTAATACTTTTGATTAAAGACAAGTGCTCTAAGTAGATCGCAATATCAGACGCTGGTAAGAGATTGTAATATATACATTACAGGTACGACGTTTTACTCAACAGCTGTAGACGAAGAAGCACTAACCATAGATGAGGGCAAGCAATGGTTAACCGCAATTAACACTCCCGTACTAGTTTTGTGCAATCTGTCATATCTAATCATCTCAAACTTCCTCACTAATAACGATGAAAAGATTGTACGGTGGTATTTTCTACCTCTCAATGCGCATGTTATGCTCTTCACGTCCAGAATCCGCGTTGCAGACAATTTGTAGGTTGGGAGAGTGTCGCCCTCTTACTTACGCGATGCCCGCTTAGTCAAACCACTATACGTTCAGTTTCTCACTAACAATTTTATTACCCTACAAAGCGTAAACTAATAATCGCGCTAAATACGTCTCCAAGAATAATTTTGGCCTCTCGTTGCAGAAAGCTGTCTTCCCTTTGCTCGTCCTAACAGCTCCCCCAGTGGCCGATGAGTAGCCAAACCGGCTTTATCATCGGAGCGCAGTTATCCTACTGCGGCCAACGATGAATCAAGGACAGATAGCTAGAAAGGGTTCGCCGTTGTAACAAGTTTCCCTACTACTATGTATCCTATTGACGACTAGCATCGATAAAATAAAATTCCTAAGCTTTAAAGCAAGGATAAACGATAGTTCAGCTTATGGTATATGGAGTAGATTACAAGTAAATTATGTGCAACATATGTGTATATATATGTTTGTATAATAGATGTAGATATATTAAATGTAACTATGATATATGTTGTATTAAATATAGAAAATAGTTAGATTTGTTTTATATGCGAAAACATAAACCAGAAGACCCATTTATAAACTTTGTGATTCATGCAATAGGCATCTTGCGGTTGGCAAAATGGGGTGTGCCCTATTTTGCACGTCATTAATGATTTATAAGTGAATAAACAAAGATATAATATAATAAGAAACAGGAATAATATTGTCAGTATATTAATATATTTACATACATACCAAATAGTGGTAGGACTCCGAAATCAAATACTAACGTTATTAGATTAATATATCATAAACAAAGAAGCAATTTATACATTTTGTGAAAAATTATGTCATTAATGTAATAATAGTTGGCTTCCCAAATATGTCACTAGGCAACTATCTCTATATATGGCATACCGTTTGCTTATGCACACCCATGAAGAATCTTTTTACCTGCGTGATAGAATTCAATATGAATGTAGACAACTTATTATGTAAACGTAATGGTTGATAACATGATAAAAAAATGTTCTCAATAAAACATCAGTAATATGTGTTTGAAATAACGTGTATAGTGGCACCAAATAGCGTTGTATGCTATTTGTATGCGTGTATACACTTCTGTTGTTAGAATAGAACTGTAACAGGAATAGAGATGTAGAGATGTAAACATATGAAATATTATATACGAATATTTGTGAATGTATTGTAATATCAAATACATATGAATGATAAAAAAAAGGTGTCTCCGACTTTGGTCTTCACAAAGTAGTTAGTTGGTTTACAATAATGAGGTGAAAAATCTTACTTTACGACGAATCTACGATAAATAACACAAATTTATATTTGCAAGTGATGCATGCGAAATAGATACATATTTCTTTAATTGAGAAATATAACGGGAATATACGTGCATTTCTATGATATGGTTGATTTGATACGTGTATTCCAAGTCAAAGGGATTAAAATTAGTAGGCTATGTGTTCCACACACCTCGTGTTGTTCTGCTTGTCATCTGTCCTAGATGATTATATCTCTTCTTTGTTATCTTCAAAAGATTTTCACGGCTTCCTATAATCAACACAGATGGCTCTGTTACATGGACCTTCAAAGCCTGCGACTTCGTCAACATCACAACGACCGTTATGTTTTATTTTGATAATTCGGTATGAACCTAAATACTTTTTGGTCAGCTTTTCCCTGTGTCATTTTCATGACTACTAATTCTCCAACTTCATACATTCTACCTTCTTCGCGATGTTTATCGCACCGACGCTTATATGTATGTTGCGTCTTCTGTATTTGGTCTTTAGTTTCTTCTCACACTCTATCTCACTTCTCACTATAGTTGCTAACTAGTTCGTGTTCCAAAAAGGTTTTTCCTTCATATGTGTTCCAAATGATATTTTAAACGGTCAAAAATTTTATTAAAACATTTAAAGTGGACTTTGTCGCCGTGTGAACTTGTCTAAGAAGTTTATACCAATTCGATGAATCGGGCGACGATAGCTTCATCATTATTGCTATTATACTTCAATTTACCCTTTTGGCTGACCATTGCTTCGAGGTACACCGGTTATAATCTAAATACTTTCGATATTAGTTTCTATACAAAAGTTGCCAAATTCTTTCAACATGAATGTAGAAACTATAGCTAATTATTTTCGTTGACCAAAGACATGCGATTAGAAATTTAAATTTTTCATAGCTTCTTCAGTTCGTGTTATTTTACAGCAAAATGACTAAGCGAATTTTAAAAACGCGTCGACCAGTGGGGGAATATATTTCTAATTTTCACCAATTGTATCCATTGAATCGGTCGGTGTGTAGAGTACGTAATGGTGTGTCAGCTTTTTGTACCTAATTTGAATCACTTTTCCAAGTATTATTGTTTCAGGAAAAGAATTGTTTTCTACACTGCACATTGATGCTAACTATGTATGTTTCTAATAATTTCAGTTTCTATACGCTTTGGTACTAATAAAACATCATTGCCGTCGAGTTGTTCATATTGTAATTGAATAATGTTTGTGGTACCAGAGAATCGCCATAGAATTCGAAAATTTTGATGTGGCAGGTATCCGTGATGCGACGAAATAAGATGGTCGCTTTTAAATGTATGAACGGTAAGGGATGTAAATAGAAAGTGATAAACGGGGCCATAATGTAAAATATGTGAATTGCTTGATTTATTAAATAAGCTGCTTGTCTGTTTCCGTCTAGTAATTGGCTCTGTGTGTGTAAAAGTAGACTCAGCATACAGCGTGTTGAACAGCAATATTATTATTATTACTATAAATTTAGCCAGAGAATAAATTCTAAGACTAAAGTCTTAAAGCACTCTAAGGCTTTCGGCTTTTTTAAAAACTCTACCGCACTTGAGATTTGAACCCAGGACCATTGAGTTGCTAGTCAAGACTCTTGCCTACTCGACCACTCAGGCGGATACAACAGCAATATATATGTTCCTATTTGCCAAAATAAGCTCAGCAATGTTGGATGTTCTCATTTTGGATATTCATACAAAAGAAAAGATAACACTCAGCTAGATAACCAAAACAGAGGGCCAATTTTATTGATATTTTGTGCTGTTTATATACTAAATTTAACTTTAGATTCTTACATATTTTTGTGTACTTAAAAATCGAATTCTTATGGCTATGCTGATGCTAGCAATTATTATAAACATTTCGTAAGGAGCGCCTGGTGTAATATTTCGCATTCAACGAAAATGCAAATTAGCATTTTATTGAGCGCGTCAGAAGATATAGACAATAAATGTCCTGCTTGATCGATGTTCAACATTATATGAAAAGGCTTGTGTGTACATTATAAATTTTTAAATTTCTCGTGTGGTATCCTCAGTCTGTCGTTGTGTATTTGAATTGAATTTTATTGTATAATGAGCCACTTTGACTTCCAATATGTAACTGTGAAGTTTCTATCATTTGGTTGTTGTTTACTTTCTCCAGAAAAACATAGGATGCAGTTTCCTTCCGAACGATTGCAATAATATTGTATTGATTGATTGTGACTCATATGTTTTAAATTTTCACCACCTTCATCTAGTCCCTGGTTACGTATTCATTTTTCACAGTTTTCTTAAGACTTGCTGCTGCAATGCTGAACCTTTGATTTTTGTTCC